TGAATGTGGACATTGTTTTGATTTTATTTTTTGAGGTTTCCATGTATTTGCTTAAGTCATATCTCTATACAATTTGTCAAAATTCCTCCTTTTTAAAGTAGTCTAGAGTATTCTATGTGGTTGCCTAAGGCAGAGGGGCCGTGAGAGAATTTTTCCTGTCCAGATGTTTGATGGACATTTCAGGATGATAGTTGCCTGACAGGTTTTTTTCGCTCTCACACTCCAGAAAGTTGCTGCATTGCTAAGGAAGCATGTATAGGAGGACCTGTTATTTAGTTACAACTGCAAATATGTATGTGTTACCTTTTTGTTTTTCGAGACTTTGTGGAAGCCTCGAAGGGGGGAATATGAGGTGTATTTAGAAGAATAGTTTTATAAAAGAAGGCAAAAACACTCGTAAACTTCTGTAAGTATAAGGTGAGGTCTGAAGTCCTCTGTGTTATCTGTTTTTGCAAGGTTTGGAATGTTTACGTTAAAGGGGCCCCCTGTTCCAAAGGTCTCTCTCTTAGTTCCACATAGATGAGATCAATTTAAAAAGGGCCATATGTTCAGTTTGCTTTTTCAACAACAGGTACCCTATATAAGCAGCTGGTTTATTCTGTTCTGGAGGGGACACAATTGGCACGGATCCCCTCTCAGGTAATTTATAGTGCTTGATATGATAGCATTTTACTTTGTAATAAACATCTTATGCAAGTAATGTGGTGTCAGCGGAGACTTCATCATCTTCACATCATCGCTACTTAAGAAACAACACCGCCCAGCATGGCACGAACGTCTTGACGCTGCACACCTAATCTATGAAGAACTGAGTGCATGCTGTTGAAAGTGGACTTCCAGGAGAATCTGCCCAAACAACTGCTGTCATAGAATTCAACTTGCAATGACACATTACCATGTTGAAGCAAACTCAAGTTGAAATTTCAAGATCCTACATCTCTAATATTCTTCAAGAATACTTCCACTGCAAAGTAGCAGAGCTAAACAGCTCTAAACATTGGCTGCATTAACACTTTGGACACTTCTTGGCATAATGTTATGGAGATAGGCATAGTCCTATTCTGTACAGTTATTGCCACTTTAATTGTTTGTTTCTGTCTTTGACTCCTCAATGTGCATATGTTTTGTACTTGTAGTCATAATACAGTTTTGTGATTCTCCATCAGGGAGAATCAAAGGGGGAATTGAGAGAAAATATTCTCAATATATGTTATTTTCCCTTATGTTATTTTCTTAAAGTCTAAACCATTTTCATTGTAGAGAGCAAATGGCAGAAAGGTGAAACTGGTCGCACTCTCACCTTGCCCGATCACTTCTTCGTTTGTATTTAAATGACCCTTTGTCTCACGACCTTAAGGTGATACCATCAACCCCCCTTATCTCTACCCCCTACATCTGTATTCATATCCCCCGTCTACAACCCCTCCTTACCCCTCCTCAAAGTCCTTTTGTTCCTCCGTCCCCCTCCTTAGTTTATAAGGTTCTTCTCAAATATTCTTGTTAGACTGGACTGGTGCCCAGACCAGACTGGTGACACACTGATGACCAAGCCGTGCCCGTGCATGATTGTCTGCATGCACGTGAATAAGACTAGACTCCTGATAATGCTGACTGACTGTTGATCGAAAATGCGACGTTTTTTATTTGCCCTCTGCTTGATTTTTAGTGAACTTTTGTGAACACCAGTGAGAACAAACTCCTATCACGGTTGCTTCTGCTGTTGGCATGACAACACCCAAGATGACAGAACAGTTGTGTTCCAGCAAATAGAACTTTTTCACAAATGCTAAACGGATCAGAATCTCCAAAAGTAGCTCAAACCGAGCTATGGACATTGAGGTAAATTAAGTTACCCTTTTATAAATCCCACAACAGGTAAATTCACCTCAGCATTAAACCTATCTGTGCTATGAAACACCCACATACATGCTAGTGAATGCATGCACAGTAGGGGGCAGTGAGCACACTTGCGGTGGGCAGCCCTATCCACAGCACCTAGGGAGCAGTAGGGGGATAGGTGACTTGCTCAAGAGCACTTTAGTCACGTACTGTCGGCTCAGGGGATCAAACCGGTGCCCTTCCGGTTGCAAGGCTGGTTTCCTAACCTCTAGCCCTGTAATGTCTCCTGGGTTTCTCAAATGCTAGAGGGTGCTCCTGAGCGAGTCTAAAATGAATGGGTTAATATGGAGCATTTGAGCAAAATCATAGTTTATAAGTGCTTAAACATTTTAATGTTTAAGAATACAATCATTTCCTGAACACCTAAGAGCATAAAACATTTTCACCCTGTTATATATTAAGAGGTTTTAAATTCGAGATATAGGAGTTTAAAACGGCGCCTCATGTACGTCCAGGACATCTGTGAGTCATCACAGACATCTGTGAATAGCCAATGAGCTGCTCTGCTTGCCAACCAATCAGCACTCACTAGCAGAAAAGCTAGTGTCCTGCTGCCCAAAACCCGTTTGCTGTAGAAAAAAGGAAATTTATAGGTAAGTTTTCTTTGCTTTTTTTAAGTGAAATACATCCTTCTACTTTCTAAAATTAAAGGAAAGTTCTGGGCAAGTGATTGGAAAGTATTTTAACTTTTTGTTTTTTAGCCGTTTAGCTCCATTCACTCATTGAGGACTCGCTCACGCCCTCTGGCGTTTTGCAGTTATGTTTTTGATGTAATGGGGGAAAATAGGAAGTAGCCAGGATCCTCATAAACCAAATGTGGAAGTGGAAACATTTCAGCTTCTGGAAGAAGTGATGAAGCTCTTCATGCTACTTTCATTTTTTCAGAAAGGACAGTAGTCCGGTGTCACTGTTTTGCTAAGAGCAAAGAATTGTATCTTATGTGCACTTAAAGCACTATCATGGAAAAAATTGGTTGCTACAGTTGCAGAATGTATTTCACTTTTACACCACTGTTGTAAATACAAGCCATACTTTGATCTCTTTATGCATGGACAGCTATAATTGAGCATTTGTTGATGAACTGAAGGATACAGAATTCGTCTCCCTCTTTGCAAGCACACACATCACGCAGGCATATGGACGCTACTGATTACACTCGCAATTTACTTTGTTGCTATGTGTAAATAATAATAAAAAAAAAGTCAAGTACCAACTGAAATGGCAATAAAGTATTGAAACTTGAAACAAAGGGAGCCTGATTCTCCTGGGGTGTTAGAATTTGTCACAACAACAGCAAAGAGAACATTAGAAGAAAAAGAAGCAACTTACAAGGTAGAATAATATTACACAACTTTATTACAGGAAGTTACAAACTTTCAAGGCTTATTTGGCACGAGACTGACAAAGACTGGGCAAACTTTTTGGTGTGAGATGATTTTTTTGTTTCTTTGCAAGCTAGCCTGAAATGGGACTGAGGGTAGATGACTTTTGACACCCGTAAAAACTACAAAACTCTGAGACAGAGATGACACAGACAAGATCACAGTCTACATTGTAATCTTTCATGAATAACATTTACAGGGAAGTACGCTCTACTGTGAGATTTCCATTGTTTCCCATTAACCATGAGACTGATGTCTTGCATCCTTTTATCTCTTCTATCCCCAGCCATCAAGTAAAAGCCAGTCTAGGATTTTCTCTTGTCCGGTCTTTTGCTCAGTCACTATCTCTTTTTCTCTTTCTTGCTTCCTCTGGCAACATCCTTTTGAATCTCTATGCAGCCTCTGATATGATATCAATGCTGGGAATACCGAGCTACTTCTTATAGCTAGCTGAGTTTTTGGTGTGTGACATGGCACCGTAAAGCGTTACGCAGTTCTCAACGCAGGTTTCGAGCCCACTTCTCCAAAGTTACATAGCGCTATAGCAGGCCTTCCAGGCCTGGAGTGGCAATGATAGAGATACCATTCTCTCTATTTTAAGTCAGTGTAACATCCAAATGATTTTGAAGCTGTTTTTTAAAGGTAAAATAGTTGGATAATGTTGCTTTAAAGACATTCAGCCTTTTTGTTTTGTGCTTAATCTCATGAGGAGCTGTGTCTCCAAATTCAACCCAAACTCAGCTGAGATGCCAGCAGCCAGTGAAAACACTCGCAAAGTTTTTTCTCCTGTAATGAGGTGGAGAAATAAATTTACAGAATAATAGATCCACATGACAATGATACAATGATAATTACTAGACAGTATAACAAAATAACAAAAGTACATTAATTAATAATAAAGTTCCACTGCAAATTCTGATTGTTGCTGCTATTGCCTGGTTCATTTTGACCAGTTTTAGTATTACAGTGAATTTCTGTGTGATCAAGATCAAGTTCTAATGTAAGGGGTAGACTGCCAAATTTCTGTGTGATCAAGATCAAGTTCTAATGTGAGGGGTAGACTGCCAAAACAGGATAGGCCTACACTCTAATCATTGATTGTGAATAAACTCCTAAAGTATGTTGCTAATAGGCTCTGTTTCTGCAAAGTCAGATTGTAGTCGATTGCTAAATCGGACTGTTGTGAATTGTTAAATTTTATACTACATTAAAATGTAAATTGTTTTGTTATTGTTTTGTAATTGTTAAATAGACAACTTGCTCAATGCTGTGTTAAATCAGACTGTATTGATTTGCTAAATCAGACCATAGTGAACTTCTAAATGCTATTTTAATGCTGTGTAGTGAATTCTGTAAAGTTATAATGTCTAAGAAGAAATGTATTTAAACTAGGTATTAGATACTGTTACATTAATTTTAACAATTTTATTGCATTTTTATTTTATTCAATGTTGGGATCCCATTGATCTAATTTTAGGTGTTGTTACACTGTATTGTGTATGCTGTAACACAGAAAATCAGTTAGGGGCACACTTTATGATTTTCCATTAACTATGCTTGAATAGAAAGGTTTTTTTAGGGGGTATTTTTTCAGAATAAGTCAGTCTTTAACATCATGTGCTTTCAAAGAACGCTGAAGAAGGCCCTACCCATGAACATGCACACACACAAATTTGAGGGCTGGACTTTAACTTGCACCACCCTTGACCTGAAGAGGTCATGATTGAGCACAGATCAGACACTGTGTTCCTGCGCGCTGGCAAGACTGCAAGTAAGTCCATAATCTTTTCATATTTTCATGTACTGTTTTAACAGAAAACTTTACTTGTGTTTTTAATTGTGCATAGAAATTAGTCAGAAAACTTTAGGAAGGTCTAAAACACACTGCAGTTGATAAACAGACTTTAAACGTGTACTGTAAGAAAAACGTACACTTGTCAGAACAGAAGGTGTAGGAAAGTCTAATGCATGTTGAGCATAGATCATTTAGTCAAATCTTCATTCTGAATGTGTCACTCTGCATTCAAAATAGTAATAACAGTAACAGTAAAGATAGATTAAAAGTTTTAGCTCTAACTTCCCTGAAGATGTAATTTTAATGGCTTAAAGGCATGTGGAAGTAGTGATAATGATGAAAGGCAACTAGAGTTTTCAACTTAAGCAAAGAAGTAGAAAATGAAAAAAATGGAGAGATAAGATCTTGCCATGATGGAGACATAAAAATCTGAGTAGCGTACAATGCCAGGACAAGCTGAGCCTCTGATGGAGGACAAGGACAATATCTAAAAATGTGTGTAGAGATGTTGGCTGGTCTCCAGGGACAGAATGATGTTTTTTTTGTTTTTTGTTTTTTTTTTCAAATTTTCAATGAATTAGTTGAACTGAGCAGTCCAGCTGAATTGAACATTTCAGTTGTATTTTTGCAGTGTTTGCATTTGTGAAATTATTTAACTAAAAAACAACACAAAGAAGAGATATTTAATATTTTACCTTATTAACATATTTTTCTAAAAAATATACACTAATTGCAAATATCTGAAGCACATTCCAAAAAAGCAGTATAAGACTGGGAAGCTTGTGGAATGATCAAAAACAGCTGTTTTGGAACTTTCCACAGGTAACACAATCATACAAGGTGATACAATCATGATTGGATATAAAAAGAGCTTTCTTGAAAGGCTCAGTTGCTGCTTTGCAAAAAAGTTTAACAAACAACAACTCTCAATGCATGACTGCAAGGAATTTAGGGATTTCATCATCTAGTGCGCAGGCAAAAATGTAAACAAAAGCTATCAATCAAAAATCAAATCTAAGTAAAAAGCTCCATTTTCTCCCTTGACTTTCCTCTTCCATTAATTTCTAGAAGGAAATAACAAAATATATGGTCGTTCTTGATAATATTTTATTTAAAAGTGCTTTCATTTACAAAAATTTGATTTCACTGTATTACAGTTTTCATCTTTAAAACTTTGACCTTATTGTGACACCGTAAGATATAATTTGCAAGCATAGATGTCAACTGCTAATAGCCTACTTAACTGCAGAAATGTTGCTAGCTTAATAAAGCTATCTTTACTTAATCATTAAACCTATGATTTTGAGGGTCCACTGTCCTACTGTTGGTCAGTTTTACATATCCCTAGCTGCTAAGGCTCTGACATTAGGGAAAATGAATTTGCATCTTGTTGACATGTACACACTTTTATTGTGCATAGAGTTGCCACCTCAGCCCTGTGAAAATTCCTGTACACTCGATTAGTGGTTTGATTTTTTTTTTTTTCTGCTGAATTCAGTGGACAGGTAGCTATGCTCACAATGCAGTCTAAGGTAGATAGATGTCAGTTTAGCTGCAGAACCGAATCTTTTCATTTATCGTGATGAGATGCTGCCTCATGCCTAAATATAAGCAGTGCACCTTTCCAAACAGTTGTCTCTAAATTGAGGGCAAACTGAGATAATCAAATATATTCTTTGCATACAAATGGCTGGACTGGATAAGAAGAAGCACTTTAAGCCTTATAGGAAATACTAACATATGGAAATGCTTGGGAAACATTTTGTGTCCAGGAATGGAATTATTTATTTTCTTAGATAGGCAGCCAGAAACCTGGACAATCCAGGGAAATCCTAGAAGCATGGCAGCCCTAATTGTTCATACTTATTTCACCTGCCTCGCTCACCCCCTACAACCTCTTACAATAGATTTTTATTAGGGGACATGTTTATGATGACAGTGAGCCAAGAGCTGTAAAGACAGCATAAAGCACTGAAAAAGGAGTGAGTTAAAAACCAAAGCAAGACTTGTTTGAGAATCAGACAACATTTTTCTGTTTCTAATATTGTTATGTTCAAAACCAAATTAGCAAGGACTTTATTTCTTGTGTGCTACAAGCAACAGGTTACTATAATAAAAAAGGAAAGCAAACAACAAATATGCAAGATGCAGTAGGTCTAATATTTCTCAAAGCCTCATGAAATCCTTTACAGGGGTTAATTTATATTGCATTTTGTTAGATAAGTGATTACGGGAACTTGTAGTTGTGCAGTTAAAATTAAAAGTGCACAAATTTTAGTTGGCTAGCAGCAAAGTTGGTATTTTAGAGATAAACAAAGATCAAACAAAGTGTGTTGCATTAGTAAATACTTAGCTAGCAGGCTAACATTTCTGCACACCACAGGTTTGATTCCTGGTAATACTGCTGTTTCCCTCAGTGCTGTTGTATTTGTGTCATAAAGTCATGAATTAAAACACAGACACAACTAGAAAAGTGCATTTTCTGAAGGAAACACAGAATGTTTGCATAGCGGTTACTATGGAAGTCTGTAGGAGGAAGAAAGGATGAAAAAATGGAATTATGTGGATTAGAGTTTGGAGCGGTGCTATGAGTGAGTACTAGCATTTTGGTGGGTTTTGGGCAAAGAAGTAATAGAGTTTGAGTGGTGATGAAAATGAATGAGACTCTATGGGCGGAACGAGGGATGCAAAAATGACAAATAGAGGAGTGTGGGTCAGATTAACTTTGGATTGGAGCTTGGGAACCTGCCCTGAGTGAGTACATGTAGTTTATTTGCCGTCAGGTAAAAAAGCAATAGAGTTTGAGTGGTGGCGAAAATGAATGGGACTCTAAGGGCGGAACGAGTGATGAAAAAATGACAAATAGAGGAGTGCAGGTCAGTATGGCTGTGGGTTAGAGCGTGGAGCGGTGCCCTGAGTGAGTACTTCATTGCATTTCGGTAGGTGTCAGGAAACAAAATAATAAAGTTTGAGTGGTGGCGAAAATGAATGGGGCTGTGTGAGAGGAACGAAGGATGAAAAAACAACAAATAGAGGAGTGCGGGTCAGGACGGCTGTGGATTAGAACTTGGGGACCTGCCCTGAATGAGTACATGCATTTTGGTCACTGTCTGGCAAAGAAGTAATAGAGTTTGAGTGGTGGCGAAAATGAATGGGACTCAAAGAGATTAATGAGGGATGAAAAAATGACACAAAGAGGAGTGCGGGTCAGTATGGCGGTGGAGTAGTTCTTGTGCTAGCTAAGTGCAATTCCACCTTAAAAGCAGTTCCACCTTAAAAAATCATTATGTGTGCTGATACTGCTGAGCATTAGGCTGTTAGCATGTGAGACTTTGGGCTCCGTGCGTGAGTTTGTATGGGTGTGTGAGAGAGGGGCCCATTGTGACATCACGTGCGGCATGCTGCCAACATTCCGCTCAATGTAAGTCTATGGGAGAAACAAAGGATGGAATAAAACGACAAACGGATGAGTGTGGGTCAGAACAACAGTGAATTCATGCTTGGGGGCCTGCCCTGAGATAGTGTATGAAAAACTGTGTTGTTCAAGCAAGCAGAAGTACCTTAGATTGGCATGCAAATGTTCACCCCATTCATTCTCTATGGGAAAAAAATCCGCAAAATTCCCTTGCTACACAGAATCCGTGCATCTGATCAAAAAGCTGTATACAAGCATGCATCACACAATCAGGCCGGACAATCTGGAGTTGGAACGGTGTTGGTATCTCAAAAGCTGCGGGACGAGTTACGCTGCAAAAAAACAGCAGAAAAATAAGAACAAAAGCCGAGAATAATGTAAATCGGATATTACACAAAAAACATTCGCTAGGGGCTCCAGCTGCCCCTAACAAGAAGGAGCTGATGCTGGTTTGGCATTAGCAGTGTGGCCTCATGCTGATTCTTGCAAGTATTGGTAGCACCTGACGCATCTTCTCATGAACATATTTTAGTATATTGGACCTTGATAGGTTTAAGCTCATTAGTGACGTATAAAACTAAGCCGCTATGTTGTGCCCCATAAATCGGTTTTGTTGCATGTATTGAGCCTGTTTTCAAAGGGAAAATGTCTGCATTTTATATTATTTCAAATGCAGATTAGTAACACATACTGCCGTATAATTCATGTCAAAACTAAAAACAAGTAATACTAAAACAGTTTAATTAAGCTATTAAGACAAAAACAAATAGGTAGATATTAGATATTAGTTTTAGTCCCATTTTCATGATGTTGATGCTGAGAACTCCTATAATACCACATACATTGAGCAATATTGCTCCCACATTGTTGACATCCATGAAAACAATAAGGCTACTGCATTCAGTGCAACGCTGAAGCCCAATCAGTCACACTGCTCATTATTCAGTCAAATTAGCTCATATTACCAACTACAAGTGTAATGAAAATGAAATGATTCACAAACAGAGCAAAACAGGTGTGTTTAGATCCAAAGCTGATGTGTACATGCTGAAAAGCAGCTAACAACGGTATCAAAGCAGTGATTGGAGGACTAAGAAAACAGGACAGGTCTTGAGACAGGTCTGATTGGCTCAGTGCCTCATGTTGGCTGGCTAGTCACGCCCCTGCACTGAGATGTTTCTTTTATCTTATATTTATCCCAATTATCCTATTTGTCCTCCAGAAACACAAGCATGTCATATTTTAAATATGAACTGATAAGTAACTGTGAAGTGACTCGTACGTACATCTGGCCTTCAGTTTCTCAGAATTCAGTGTAGCGATATTTTTTTATGTAAATGAGTATTTGCACAAGAATATGCATGAATATTTGTATAATGGTTGTCCTTCACTGAAAGCGCATTACCATCACTGCGAAGACTTAAGACCGGACTGTAATGCATTGCTTTATGGTTCTGAAAATTATCCAGATTTTATACGTTTTATACATGTGCATTAAACAGGCTACATTTCAAATATTATATTCAAATAAAATAATAAAACAATAGTGCGAATACTTAGAAAGCCATGTATTGTGTGTCATATCAACAGCTGAGGCAACTTTTACACCACTTTACCTCACTGCCTATAATTTGACAGTGGGCTGTTAATACAGAAAAAACTTAAAGAGTTCTTTTTAACAATTAAGAGTTTTTTTTTGAGGTATTTAATTGAAAACAACACAAAGAAAAAAATATTTAATATTTGACCCTCTCAACTTAATTGATTTTTGCAAATATACACCAAATCCCAATTTCATGCCTGCAACCCTTTTCAATAAATTTGGGATGGGGCTTTCCACAGTTAAAAGAACATAGGTAACAGGTGATGCTATCATGATTGGGTATAAAAGGAGCTTTCATGAAAGGCTCAGTCATTTACAAACAAGGATGGGTCAAGGTTTGCCACTTTGTGAAAAAAGAGGTAAGCAAATAGTCCCACAGTTTAGGAACTGTCATTGTATAGGGTGACAATGGCATAGGTAACTTACACTGTGAAGGCATCATCATTGCTGAGGGGTACATACACATTTTGGAGCAACAAATGCTGCCATGTAGATGTCATCTTTGTCAGGAATGTCCCTGCTTTTTTCAGCAAGACAATGCTAAGCCACATTCTACACATCTTATAGCATCATCGCTGCACAAAAGAGTGCAGGTGCTAGACTGGACCTGCTGCCCTTTGCAAATGTGTGGCACATTATGAGGCACAGTATGTGACAATGGAGGCCCCTATGCTGTCAAATAAAGGTCAAAAAGATTTTGGGCTTGTACAATGATATTCACAAATGTACTGAAATATGCATAAAATAAATAATCTTTTATTGAACGAAGCTGAAAAGGCCACTTAATAACAGTGAGAATAGCAGGGAAGGTTATTTCTAGCCTAACAAATGACAACATTAACAACAACAACAAATGCCCTTCTAATGAAGGCACAGCTTTTCATACCACACCCATAAAATGTTTTTTTCAAATGTGTAGAAAAAATTGGCATTTGTAAATAAATGTTCACACACACACACACATTTTCTAAGCCGCTTCTCCTTCTGGGTTGCGGGGGGAGCTTGAGCCTATCCTATTGAGTCATTGGGTGGAAGGCAGGATACACCCTGGACAGGTCACCAGTCCAACGCAGGATGTGTAAATCAGTACTGCATAAATTATTAAATTGTGCCAGACCATGAAATTATATGGAAAATTGTAGTTTGCAAATGTTCCATGGTGTTAGCTTGTCAGTGTGACAGTACAAATCCACTCACACATCTTCACTCCTGTTTGTGTGAACTTTTGCAGTGACAAATTTTTGACCTTATTTTTGTTTTGCTGGTAAATGGCCAACAGAAAAGCTATTACTGGTCCAATCAGATACTGAGTTTGATTTTATTCAATCACAACAATAAGTGCTTGCTGTCACTCAAAGCTTTTGAAAGATGTTTGAACCCACTTCTACCATATCCTAACAGTTCGCCAGCATTCAGATGTTGTATCACATCGCGTCCCAAAGCCTTCAAGAACATCAAGAGCAAGAGTAAGAGATGTAAACAAACCATGGCCCAAGGGCAGAAAATAGCTGCTTAACTGATGGATGTGGAGGCTTGGAGACATTAAATTAATGGAGTGCATAATGAGTTATGTAGCTATGTATCCTTATCAGTCAGTGGCACAAAACAAACCAAATCAACTCTGGTGTTTTCTTGCTGGAAGGGTTTGTCGGGCCTAAGAGCCTCTCTTCTGTGCCCAAGGCCCGTGGACAGAAGATGGATTCTTGTAGCATGTTCTAATACTATTACCTTAAGAGCTAACTGCAGTATAACTTCTTCTAACAAAATAAGAAAAATGCCTAAGTGTAAAAGAGCAAAGTAAAATAAGGGACTTCAGTCGCTGAGTTCTTGTGGAAGGAAGGAAAAGGCCTTCTTCTTTATTGAGCTTGAATAGCAAGATGGTTCCCGGACAACCGCAATGCAAAGATCATCGCAAAACACCCATTTTTATATCCTGTTTGGAGTGATGAAGTAATCACCCCTCCCTTTCTATAAAATTCTATACCATCTTAGTTCTCATAATTTCCAAACCTTACTGGTCGCATTGTAAATTCACCTACTCCAGAGACTAGTTCTTATCATCTCAAGGACAGCTCTTCTTTCTCACACAGCAGATACTCACAAACTTCTGGAGGCCTCTTTGTTAAAAGGGCACTCCGGTGTCCAAGTTCCCAGGCAAGCTAAGGCCTATCTTACAGTGTGAAGATTACTATTCTTTTGATTAATAAATGCTACTTGTTAGAACTATCAAAGATAAAGATTATTTATTCAAAACATCCATCAGGTTGTAGAGATCCTCCTTTTCTCCACTTCATGAATGAGTTTCTTCTTCTCCATTTTGAGGTGAAATGACTGAATGATGCATCAAATGTTGAAATGGGCATCCATCAAAAATGGTGCGTTACACCATATCAGCTGGTGTAGAGAGCTTCACTGATTTCATCAGGAGCATTTTGGTTTTGTTGCTCACCTTGCTTACTGGTAGAGGCAAGTTCTAACATCTTTGAAAAGCTTTGAGTGACTTCAACAACTGTTGCAATTGGATTAATCAAACTTGCGACTGGATTGGACTAGTTAATTTTGATTAGGTATTGGTCAATCAATCCTTTTGACTTGTTTTTGATTCCATAGATCCCAGAGTGTTGGGGAACTGAAGTGTTATTTCAAGTTAGAATGGGAAAAAAATACACTTTAAAACTAAAACAAGTAGAGTTCTTAGTTTCCAAACAGTTAGTGAACACCGTTAAAGGGATGTAACACAGTGGTAAACACGCTCCTGTCCCAACTTTTTTGGAGCATTTTGTAGGCATGAAATTTAGAATAAGCATACGTATACAGAAAAAAAACTGATGATGATGATATTGTCTTTGTACTGTTTTCAACTGAATACAAGTCAAAAATGATTTGCAAATCATTGCACAGGCACTCATTAAGACCACATGCTTGGTATCTGTGGTGTCTTCGTGGGACAGCTAGTCATGGATGTTGTCATGATTTGAATGTTGTGATTACAGTACACACACTGCAGTACTGACATAGTATCCTAAATATTATATTGATTTACCACAGTGTTATTAGTTAACCATTGCTGATTTCACATACTAACAGATTACTTTCAGCAGTCTTATACGTTTGCTTTTACAGCATGAGGACACAGGGAAGATTACTGTTCTGCTGGCTTTGTCTTCAAGGTACAATCTAATATTTTTATTTAATTAATTTTTTTATTGATATTACTTAATGTTTGCATTCATTTCATCATTTTGAAGGAAATGTTTTCATTGCAAATTGCACTGCTTTTTAAACAGTGCATGTCTGTGCTCATTACTATGCTTGTCTTAATTCTTCCAGTGATGTTCGCCACTGTATTGTCCGATGTGTGGAAGGCAGAGGTTGTCTCTGAATTGAAAACGCTGGTCTCTTCTTGTGTTGTGGTGCCCTGCAAGTTCCAGTACCCTGGAAGACAACTTCCAGACTCGCGTATTAGGGGAATCTGGCACAAAAAGGATAAAAAAGAAAACATCTATCATGAAGACCATATTGAAATTGCAGACAGCTTCAAGGGTCGCACACGACTGCTTGGCCACTTGGGTGAAAAAAACTGCACTTTAGAGATAGATGAGGTCAAAAATCATGACAACGGCCCATTTTGTTTCAGGGCTGAAATCCCAGACATAGATAAGTATTCTTTTGTGGAAAGCTGTGTGACCCTCTCCATGATGCGTAAGTATGACTGTAGTTTGCTCTGTTGACTATATCTCTGTTAATATTTGGTCTGCTAACTGTAACTATCAGGCATCACAAATTGTGGTTTATCTAGAAGTAACCAAAGTCAGGGTCTGATCCCAGTGTTAAACAATGATAGTTCATATGAATGGCCAGCAGTAAATTCATTTTGCTTTGGTCACGGTCAAGATATGCATGTTTAGATATTTATGTGAGTAATAGCCTGTATCTTTTATTAATATGTTTATTTTTCATTTTAGAGGAAGAAATATTAGAAATAGAAATAAATTCCATATGTGAGCTCCTCTTTTTTATAAGTTAGGAGTTGTTTGGAACTAGAAAACTCTGGCAGTTGATTCATTACACAAATGCACGTTTCAGAGTCCATCATTGTTCTCTCTCTAATCTTTAAAATGGGCATTCCAAGGCACTGTATCCCTTAGTCTCAATGACCTCACAGAATGTCATACCCAGCATGTATGACACAAATAAGTCATAGACATCATAGAGAACACTGGGAGACCATTGTGAAACTTTTTTTTTCATACTAACCAACTGTTTATGACAGCACATCTGTGTGATGCTGTGTCCTTGTATTCCTCTTGTTTGAAAATAGCATGCAATAGGTTTCCTGGTTAATTCCATTCTTACCATCCCCAGTCTAGAGGCCATAGTTTTAAAATCATAAAGAAAGAGATTAAACTCTTTAATATTAGTAATAATAGCCACACTGTTGTATTTGCTGTTTAGCGGCGGCAGAGAAACCAAAGCTAGAACAAATGAAAACCTTGGAAGATGGAGTTCCTACTACGTTCAAGTGTTCTATCAGACATACCTGTCCCTCCCGTCCCCCCACCATCACCTGGAGCCGTTCAAATACTGAAGCCACTTTGAACAACAGGGACATTCTTCATGGAAACTGGGAAGTGGAATCCTTGCTGACTTTCATCCCAACAGAGAAGGACGATTTCACAGACCTCACCTGCAACGTCAGTTTCCACGGCGGCCTGCAGTCTTCAGTTTCTTCTGTCTTACACGTGAAACGTAAGTCATGTTCTCTGTCTACCATAGTTGCCCATATGTTACTAAGGAACAGATGACATAAAAAATCTTAATAAAGTACATACATATAAAAGGCCCACTACTCAAGATTTTGCTAAATGTTTAGGAGAACACAGGGTTGGTTGTCACAGGGGCTGTTGTCTCAGTTCCATTTTCTGGTCCACCAGAGGCAGATGTCTAGAAATATTGATACTAACATGTTACAATTTCAGGTCAGAAATCATATACATTCTTATCTTCTCTCTAATTGCAAGAGATTAAATCTTGTCACATCACAAAGTACGTTTTTGGAGTCAGATCTATTCTGTTACTAATGATAAGAACATGAACACAGCTTAAAATCAACTTAATGTATTGTGTGTGCCCTTTCCTCAAGTGTGAAGGTCTTTAGCATGCCCTTTTGAATAGTAGCACTTGTGGGGTTGGTTGTCAAATTCATGACGGGGGTGCTTGTTGCATAGACAGGAACGTCCACAGTGAGATGACTTGTCAGAGAAAGGTAATAAAGTGCTTGTCGCTAGAATAAATGTAGGGCAGTTTTGAAGGATAATGTTTAACTGTGTGGTTTTTTTTTTTGCATGACTGTGGACAAATTTTATGTGATTTAAAGACATTCATTAGATTAAATGATCCTGAATAAAACAAATGATTAATACTCATGCTCAGAATAGAAATGTTCTTTAATTTATAATAGTTCACTATAGGTTTAAAATAAGGTTTAACATAAAGTATAACGATCAAGGGCGTACTTAGAACTTGTAGAATGAGGTGGCCAGACAAGACCTACAGACGGTGACACTTTTTTTTGAGTGGTCCTTTTTAAATGAAACAAACACTCACAGACTCTCAGTAACATGTCAAAAATATATGAGTGTTAGGATTAGGTTTTGGATTGAGGTAAAAGTTAGGGTTAGGTTTTGGGTAATATGTCTGCTAAGTGTTTATTAATCATCTATAAAGAACCACTCAAGATAAAGTGTTACCTAGAGATTTTATTGGGGTGGCACAGTGTTTGTAAAAAAAAATAGCATTAATGTATTAAGATTACATAAAAAATGATGCATTGTTTTTTTACTGTACATGTTTCAACTAAATCATTTCCACATGAAATTTTCACATGAATTAAATATTACAACACAACTACTGATGAAAGTAAACTGAAAAACAAAAGTGTGTTGATGCAACATATTTTAGTAAATCATGAGTAAATGATGTATTTAAATCAAGTAAATTAAATGCGTCACTTTCTTCAGTGCACAATGTTAAATTTAAGAAAAACACTTCACATAGACAGACCGTAGAAGTTAAATTAATTTATTAATAAATTTATGCTGCCATCATTTTGGTTCTTAGCAATTATCACTGACTAATTTTTGATAGTTAACTCATCGTATCGTCCAGTAGCCTACTTCATAACATGACTTACAGAGCAGCACTGCTGAAAAGACCCAGCGCACATTTAAATTAGCTCAGCACACATCGCAGCAAAATACAATAATTATTAAATGCAGTGATATCATACCCTATAACTGTTTGGTAACTACCCCAGTGTCAGATTTTCACCACAAAGCATGATTGATGCTTTATTGATGATGGCTGACTGTCTCACAGTATGTAAATAAGGGGGCCAGAAAAGCCGCCATACTGGCCACTTCTTTGCTATGCCTCTGATAATGCTGCTGACAACCAACACCACTATGAGGTCAGTGGCCACAAATGCACAAAACCTAATATATCATAAAACCAATCAAATAATTATATAATGCTCCACACATGCTGTGCAGAACACTGTAAGTTTTCATTACATTTAGGTTTGTCTGATATTGTATCAGTGATGTGTTTTGAGAAGTAAGAGCTAAAGAGAAAAGTACAACAACCAGGCCTGTGTTCCACCATGATATTTGGAGGGAAATCAGCAAAAATCTGTTCCTGGAACTACATGAAAGTCACTAGTTGGCCATTATCACATATGCACTGACAGAAGGGTTAAAGACGTGAGGCTTACAATATCATTCAAATAGCACATAATTACTATACCCTTAGAATAAACCTCAGTGGCTTAGGGGCTGTGTAACTTCAGTTATGTCTGTTTTTTTAGGTAAGGCAAATATTTTACATATCGTCATTCCAGTTGTCGCTGTGGTTGGAACTGCCTTTTTATTTGGAGGAGTGTGTTTCTTCATGAACAAGAAATATAAGTGAGTCTGAATAAAGTTTATAAGTTTACATTTGCTTTACCTGTAAATAAATAAATGTGTGATTTTTTTGTTGTTGCTGTAATGAACAGAACTTACAATCCTATGCAAAAGCTTATTCACCTTTACTCAAATTATCATTTGTTGATTTTCTAAGTGGAAAAAAGTTCACACTGTCTACAGAGAACACACTTCTTTTGTTTAATATACAGTTATGGCACAATTTATGTGTTGTATCTATGTTTTGTTCCAATACTTTAAACAAATAAATTATAATAGTGCACTAAAATATGTAAAAATGCTATTTTCACATAGAAAATCAATAAAACATGTACTACAACCAGTGTGGTGTTTGCAGTCTGAGTAGGTTATTGTTGCCATCCAAAAAATAAAAACATTTCCAAAATTGCAAATTTACAGGAGATTTTTTCAAGTAATTTTGGAGCATTGTTATTGGTGCCTGCATCATGAAATTTTCACACAATGTAAGAGGCAGCGTCTGTGCTCAAATGATGTAGAAAAAAAAACCTTGAAAAATTTGACCTTTTTATTGGTCAGTGATGTTTTGCTAACTAGTCAATATCAACACTTAATAATACTTTATTGTCTTTTTTTTCTTTTCCCTCACTCAAACCATCATTAGGAAGCAAATCCAGGAGCTCCAGTCTAGAAGTGAAAATGGGTAAGTATATTAGTATTTTTAATACATTCAGTATTCCGACCATTCATTCATTCATGTAGTCTGAATGTCAATAGTGTGATATTTAATGTGAGTGCTTTTATTTCTGCTTCAGCACAGCTGGTGTCTGTCTTGACTCTTTTCACTTTACTGATTCTGTGGTTATAATTAAGACCGGTTCCATTTAAGTACACCTAGTTCTGTTTGTGTTAATTAAAAAACAAGATTCACACACATCCTACTCACATTCGTTTATATTCCACTGAACTTCGCTTGACATTTTACACTTGATATCATGCGTTGGTTTTCAAGGGGAAATCTCTATTCAAAATCTATTATAGTCCAGTTAACTTCTGGTCTGAACTGTCTAAAATAACAAGAATGAAGGCATCTGGTAAAGAGAACAGAGCATGCAAATATCTTAAGTATAATTTAGACAGTGGATGGAAAGTTTGTTCTTTGAAAACAAAAGCAGAAGCCACTTCTCATTTTCAGTTTTCTCATTTTGCTGTCGATAAGCCCACACAGCAGTCTATTTTCTCCCAGTCTGTAGGCCTTCATCAGTGGTGAGTTTCTGACCACAGAACCACTGCTGACTATTTTCTAAACTCAGTGGAGTGGAAATGTTTTAAAAAGCCAGCTGCACCACTGGTCCCTCATGTAGATAATAAACAAACTGAATGAATTAATTTGTAGATATCCACATATTTACATAAATGTATTAGTTCTGCTCACTGCAGTAGACACAGTGGTCTCTACAGAAATACAAACATGACTTTTTAAAGTAACACTTTACTTGAGCCCTTCTATATGACATTAACATAATCATGTCATAAACATGTCGTAACAGATGTAATATGATGTAATGAGTTTTCTTGACACATTTTGTTCAGTGATATAAAAATGTTATGTCATCATTACTTGCAGTTGTCATGACAGATGCCATAATGTCCGATGTCATGACAGCTTATGTTATAAATGTACTTTAGTGCCCGCAAACATTATGACATGCTGTATGTAATAACAGTTTACACCTATCTTACACCTAATGATTATAATCCTTTTGTGTAAACAGAATGCTAGGTCGCCTCTCAAGGATGTCCCGCAGGTAAGCATTTTCTATTGGTTTAAAGAAAACAGGTCTATTGAAAAAACCATTAGACCTTTTTGTACAGCACTTAATACATAACAGACAATTGTCAGCAGTCATGCTTTATAGTACCCAATATTTATATGGATTACTAAATGTTTAATTACTAACTGAAATTCTTGACTGTCTTACTATTTATTTCTGATTATCTTACTTTGTAATCAACAGGTTCAGGTCAGTGGATTGGAATTTTCCTGGAAGGACTGCAGGGAACTGGACCTAGTCAAATGCTTGCTGTCTATATTGCAGATAGGCATGCCAATGTAACAAATGAGGCTTTGAAGCAGGACATGAACAGAATAGCTTTATTAGGGGCAATCCAACACTCATAGTTATCACAGGCGGGAGACAGTACACAGGCAGCAACAATGCAGGCAAATCCAGTGATAGTAGAAATGAATGAGATAATCTCAAACTTTTCAGTGCTTTTGAACCACTTGTGTTTAAAATAGTAGTTTGGAAACAATTCAAATACACATTTTCTACATAAAAGATTAAGTACACACCAGTGAGAACTACTTCCTGGATTCAATAATACTGATTACACATTATTCCAGTGTATAACTGACAAAGCAACCTGTAACTCTGTGATGCACATATACAACAACAACAACAAAAAAAAACACAACTAAGGTTCTACAATGTGCAGGAACAGCAAGTTAATGCTGAGAACACTGAAGCATAGTTGCATGCAAAGGTTTGGGCACTCTTGGCCAAATCACATATTTTGGTTGATTTTTGGAGTGAAAAGAAATGTGCAACCCTTCAGCAGTTTAAAAATAACATTGTTCTATAAATGTTAATGCACGATTACTTTATAGTTGATTGCTTTTGATTAAAAATAGAAATTAAACTGTATTTGCGGTATGTGCAAATGTTTGGACATCGTAATAAGTCAAGACTTAGCAGCAGCCACTTTGGCACATTTTACAGCCTGCAAACACTTTTTGTAGCCAGCTAGGAGTACTTTCATCCATTCTTCCTTGCGAAAAGTTTGTAGTTCGTCCATCTTGTATGCACAGCATATTTAAGACCTACTCACAGATTTTCAATGACAGATTTTCAGGGGACTGTGAGGGCCATTCCAAAAGCTTCAGCTTACATTTCTTGTAGTTAATGGTTGATTTTAAGGTATGTTTTGGATCATTGCCCTGTTAGTAGAATCCATACTGCCTGTGCTAAGTGTTATGTGCCACTGGTTGCTGCACAACCCAAGAGCATCATAGATCCACCGTATGCAAGGTGTTCTTTTCATCAAATGCGGCTCTTTTTTCCTCCAAACACACTTTTTATGACTATAACCAAAGCATTAAATTTTTACTTCATCACTGAACAGCACTTGTTTCCAAAATGCCTCTGGTTATGGTTAGATGTTGTTGCACACTTCAGATGTTGAGTTTTCTGAGGTTTCATTCTGGTGATTCTTACCTGCAGATTGTGCCTGTGTAAGCAATGTCGCACTGTAGAATGGTGCACCACTAACTTTAACATGTGTTAGCTAAACCTTCTTGCTTTCATAGGGGGTTCCAGACCTGACTTAACTTCTACAGTTCCCCTTAACTGCCATTTGTTAATAATATTTTGGACAGTGAAAACTGTGAGCTGGAAGTGCTTTGGTGTCCTTTTATAACCTTCCCCTGCTTTGTAGATATCAGTTAGCTTCGTTTTCAGATCCTCAGCCAGCTGCTCAGAGGAGCCCATGATTGTTGTGTATTAGCACAAGGTGTGAAGTGTCATAGAATTTATTACACTCTAAAATTATCATCAGCTGACAATTCCTAAAGACATTCCCTGTCAAACCAGTCCTAACGAGTCAGTTAAGTTCTGAGAACGTACAACTCGATGAGTGTCCAGACTTTTGTATATTCCACTTAGGGGTGCCCAAATTTTGCATATAGCTGTGTACATATAGAGGTTGCAATCAGTTGTTGTAATGAACCATAGGTGTGTGAATTAATGAGTGGGTGGAGCCAGAGCTAGAACCAGAGAGCCAGAGTGGACCAGTCCTAAATAGGGAGAGTTCATGACCATGACAGCCAATTGCATAAGGAATAAAACCATTAAACAGTATACCACACGAGCCATAAGGATGGGGAAACAGTACATGATATTTGTAACTGTCAGTAATTTAAATTCCCGATGTACTCAACATATACACTATGTGGTATTTTATATGTATGTGGACACCCGTCATAATTTAGTTCAGATACTTCAGCCTCACCCATCACTATACTGAAGAGCTCAGTGACTTTAAATGTCAGTGTCATAGGATGTCACCTTTCCACAAGTCAGTTTATGATATTTCTGTGGTGCTAGATCTGCCCCGGGCAGCTGTAAGTGCTATTATTATAAATAGAAGCATCTAGTAGCAACAACAGCTCAGCCACGAAGTGATGCACACAGAACAGGGCTGCATAGTGCGTGGAGAGTAAAAATCATTTATCCTCTACTGGATTAGTTACTTCAGAGTTCCAGTCTACCTCTGAAAGCAACATCAGGAGGAACTCCATATTAGAAGTCAGTCAACAATAAGAAGTTTCTTATTGTTGACTGTTTTGCCTTGTTAAGCTTTGCTGTCAGATTTTTCATCCAAACTATATTCTGAAAACTGGATATCCAGAATTTCATAGCTGAACGCTGTGGGGTAATCCAAAGCTCAAGACAGTTTTATTGCTAGCTGTAAAACCTGCCATCAGCATCCTCGGCTGAATTGAAGAAAAGTGAAGAGCTGAGTCATCATTTAAGAGACATAAATGTGGTGACAGTGGAATTCTGAGATCAAATACTTTAGATAATATATCTACTGTGGAGGTCCATATATCTGCTACTTTAGAACATTACCAGAACATATGCGTCAGTGTACCAGGTGCAGAGTTACAAATATTACAGGTATGACTAGAAATACATTTCATTTGATATCTCCTGCAAGTGTTGCATATGCTCTATGAATTATTTTATAATGGATAAACTGATGTGCCAATTTTTTTTAGAACAGTGACTTAATATAGTGTTCCAATCCAAGGAAGGACCAGTACAGGAAAGCTCTGGTTCCCACAGTTCTTCAACTGCCAACTGTTTTATATGATGGTCCAAATGAAACTCTGTCCCGTAAAATGCACATGCTTTTAACGCAACCTTTTTTTCATAATTTGCATAGCAAAATGGTCAACATGATGTGAATTGTGTGTAATATCTGTAGAACTCTGTTGCGAGCAGTAAGAATGTCCAGTATGTAGTTCAGCTGAACAGAACAGAATGTCACCTTTTGTGTAAGGCTATATTTGGGCATATGGTCTAATCTGAAGTCGATCACCTATATTTTGCTGTGTTTACAGGAGTCATCGGAGGAATGAGCCTGCTGTGCATATGACCACTAAGTAAGTGTCTTCATTTGAGTAATTTTTGCTATAAAGTTTTTGTTAACATATCAAAACAGGATGGATGAGAGAGTTTTAATTTTAAAAATGTGGAACTGGAAGGCAAAGGACAGACATGTAGGCTGGGGTTATTTTGTAAGCCCCATACATAAATGTCTTCATATGTTTGGCTTTGGCTATGTAACCCTGGTTCTTGTTTAATATTATACTATAGCAGTATGGTAAAATAAAACAAATAAGATGATTGGCATTTTTATATGCTTGCATACTACAAACAGATTACAATCCTACATAGTTCATGTATGTTAACATGCCAGGAAACAAATGTGTTTGTTAAATGATGCTTATCACATCCAACTAATCATAAGCTTCTGTGCTCATAGGCCAAACAACACTGTAAGCGTTGTGTCAGGAAGTGCAGGGTTTTCCAAACCTCGCTTTCCATCTCCAAAGAGGTAAAATACAAAAACATAACCAAAAAAATGATAAAAAACAATTGTGCACAGAAACGCCATGTATTTTCAAATATTAGATCCCACTAAAAAGCTGCCACCTTTTTTGTTTCTCTCTGTTTGTTCTTTTCTAACGTTTATACACATCTTAGTGAACACAAAGACTACAGCAAATCAAAGGACACATACTCAGCAGTAAGTAACTTGCCTGATTTCAGATTTTGATTCAAACCTGAGCCACAAATCAGTCTTTTTAATAGCCATAAGAGGGGTGTATCTCAGCTGCCATTAAACTACCACTCCAGTTAAAGTTTTAACCTACATACAATATGGCACAGTAATGACCTAGTTGTTGTTCCTGTGGTTAAATGATATCAGTTCTAGCAGTGGTGGTTTAAATGTGGCTGAGATCTGGTCTTTTTTACAGCTGTAAACAGGCTGGACTATTGCCCACTTCTGTGCCAGTACATACACACACACACACACACACACACACACACACACACACACACACACACACACACCTTCTAAGCCGCTTTTCCAGGGGGAGCTGGAGCCTATCCCAGCAGTCATTGGGTGGAAGGCAGGATACACCCTGGACAGGTCACCAGTCCATCACAGGGCACACACACAGACATACATGTTCACACAAACACTCCACACAAAAAGGTCCCAGGGAAATCGAACCCAGGCCCTCCTTGGGTATTTTCTGTGGTATATTTGCCAGTCATTTCCTGTCAGATGTGGCCCAGTTTTGGAGAATATGTATATTTTTTTAAACTTTGTTTTCTGAAATAAAAGGAACAGTAGACATATTTATCAAACATTGAATAGTGCATCTATTAATATTGTTATTTTAACTGAGGTTTGAATTTTTGAGTGACTGTCTTTAGTAATCAGCTGACTGTGTACACTGTCTTTAAGTCTTTTTCTTTTATCCACAGAGCTACGATGAGGATGATTACACCAACCTGGCTGAGCAGAACATCTATGGGAATGTCTGATGATCAGATCACCTCTTTTTGTACTGCATTTCTCATTTTATATCAGTTTATATCCATTCTATTTTCAGTACCTGTTTCAGCGAATTCCACTGAATTTTCAAAATTTCTGTATAATTCAGCAGTTGAAAAGTAAACAAAGTCATTCAGAGTGGTTTGATGTGAAATAGTTCATTTGCAGAGAAACTTACAGGCAGTTTTTGTTACAATGGTGGTGATGGGAATCAGGAGTCCCGATGTCTACAAGGCAAATATAGCCATTTTGTTTACTATCCAAAACCACCAGTGAACCTATACATGTCTTCTAAGTTTCTTTATGTAACATTGATAATGGTAAAATAGTGGTAAGTCTGAAAAAATAAGTTTTCTTTGGGGACTATTTTGCCTAAGAATGCCCTTCATGCTTCCTGTCACCATGAATGGATTAAAATCAATTGATTAAAATGCGTTTTAAATCACAAAACTACCATAAAACAATGTCTCAGACATCACGCAGTGTATTCATAACCATCTTATGTAATAACGTATTGTAAGGTAGCGTATTGTAAGGTATCATTAAACTCCTCAAATGGCTGGTTCCCATCACCAGCACTGTGAACAACTCTTACTCTGTAAGTATCTCTAGCACAAAGCTTTTCACGTCAAACCACTCTGCATAATTAAAGTTGCACTTTTATCCACAACATAAAAGAAATTACAGAGAGCAGACATATGTCATTTATAACAACCTGGAAAGCAAGTTAACTTTGGTCGACATAATGTACAAAGGTGAAAAATATGTTATTTTTGAGTAGCCTGTGCATCATCTTAGCTAAAATATTAATGATGAGCCTCAGTGTATTGTGGCCTCACCATTTTTTTATGCTTTGTGGCTTTGAACATGCTCTTTGTGGACATTCTCTTCAATGTACTTCTATCTAGCTCTTTCATTAGCTATTTGTACTGCTAAATATTACATTCAATAGGCTTTTAAAAAATATTTGATGCAGTTTGATTAGTAGTCAAATTTTTCTATTTTCTTTTTTACTAAAGTTTAAAGGAGAAAGTAGTTGTAACAAGATCAGCTGAGTGTCTCTTGAGAGCTGACTCACTTGTGCATCACAGCAACCAAATTATGAAAATGCTTTGTTATGAAATTATTAGTTTTATTATTAGTCTTAATGAACTTGCATTGTCATACAAGCTGGTCATGTAATGTCAGTATTCACAATGTTTATTCTTAATCATAATGGTCATTCCTATGCACATTTCAAGTACACTTTCAAGGAGACTCACTGTGGGCAGTACATGGCTGCTAATTTAATGTGAGGTTAATGTCGATTCCTTACAGCTTTTTTTCCGACAGACAGGAAGTTTGAATGCCTATAAGGCAGCATCTTGCCAGTACATAGACCCCAGTAAACAGATGTACTTTGAATGTGAAAGTCTCTTGTAATGAGAGTTCTACTCATGCGTTTTAAGGCACGCCACAGATGTGCGAAAATAGGAAGGGTAGAGCTTCATCTGAGTGAAAGATGAGATATTTTGCAAATTGCGGAGCTCTACCGAAAAAACAGCTTCTTATTTTAATGTTTTTTTTTCAGTGTGTAGAGTTTCACTTCCTTCTGCAGATTACTTGTTAATAAATGCTTTACATTTTCCACCCATCAACACAGCGAAGGAGGCATGCATGTAAATAGACGTGTCTTTACCAAGTGAACTACCGCTGGTATATTTATAATGTACTGAGATACAGACATAAAACATTGTTGCTACTGAGTAAATGATTACTGTGATAAAATGTTTCTCTTTTGTTTTTGACCAGGGCATATTTTGATTTTTTAAAATAAAGGTTACCAGAGCATGTCAGCATCCTTTTAATATTAAATGTTTTTGTATTCAATTTGTGATGAGGTATTCTATGTAAACCAAATATCAAAAGACTAATAAAACAAACATCAGATTGCATCAGTCTATCTTTTCAATACATTCACATTTCAAATATTCAAACAAAGCAACAGCAGTGTAACAAATATGACATACAAACTTGCAGATTTCAGTGTTGCTTCTGTTGTTTTATAAACTGGTGGTTGTAATTATACATCATCTAAACCGCTTATCCGTCTGGGTCGCAGTGGGGTGCTCCCAGCTGTCATTGGGCAGAAGGCAGGATACACCCTGGACAGGTTGCCAGTCCATCGCAGGGCAGACAGACAGACATACACAATCACACACACATTCATACCTAGGGGCAATTTAGCATGTCCAATTGGCCTGACTGCATGTTTTTGGACTGTGGGAGGAAACCGGAGGAAACCCATGCAGACAGCGCTACCCACTGCGCCACCGTGCCGCCCCGGTTGTAAACATTTCAATTTTTTTCCTTCAGAGTCAATAAGTGAAGGGTGTTATTTTTATTTTATTTATTAGACTGTATTACATTATTAATCAAAACAAAAATTATGAGATCACCATCAAATAATTTTTACCCACAGACATAGTACACACCATTCCAAACATTAATATTTTACACAAACAAAAAACCTTAAAGGCCATAAATAATAAAGGGCCATAAAAATGTTTTCATAATAATGAGAACAGCGTGCTGTGCAGTGTTTTGTTTTTTTTGTACTGTACTCCAGTCCACTGAATGTGACTAAGTGGTTACAGTGCAGAATGTAAACTTTTATATTATGTCTGTATTGGTTGTACCATGTAGGGCTAGAATAGTGGGTAAAAACATTTGATACTTTGTACAGTTGTTGGTCACTGATTGTCACCTGTAGTTTGTGTGGTGTCCCACACTGCTAGCTCAGCTCTCGTCGGCCCTGTTTTGGCTGGTCTTGCATGGTAAAAAGTCCTAATGTTAAATGAATAAATTAAAAAGTAACTGCTCAGTTGTTCCTTGCCCAGCTGTGTGTTGTTTCAGAGTTACTTAATACAGGAGAAAACTAGTTGAAATTACTTTATTAGCCATTTACACTACTTGCTGTGAAAATGTGACCACAATCTTGGAAACCACTTTTCTCATAATGACAAAGTACAGACCACTTTTATCTGATGTACAGATATAAAAATCTACACAAAAAAGGCAGGTTTTATGATGTAAAAAAATTAAACGAAGGTAAATCATGTAATAACTTTTTCAACTTGTGAAATTGCAGCCTGTAAATTAAAGTACAAAATAATCAGACATATTTTAGGGTACAAAAAGAAAAAAAATGACAATACCATGGTTGCGTAAGTGTGTGCACTCTTTTATACATGAGGGATGTGTCTGTGTTCAGAATTAACCAGCCCCATTGAAACTCATGTTAAACAGTAGCTGGTATACAACGGCCATTAATTAAAGTGATTATGATTCACCCTAAATAAGGTTCAGCTGTCCTGTAGGCCATGGTTCACAAAGAGCTTACAAAGCATGAACAGGATCTCTGTGTTGGCAAGTATTGATGAAGACAGCAGTACAAAAGAATTTCCAAGGCATTAGATATACCATGGAACACAGTGAAGTCAATCATCAACAAATGATGAAAATACTGCACAACAGCAGCATTACTAAGAACAGGACAACCCTCCAAAGTTTATGAGAACACAAGAAGAAATCTCATCAGGCAGGATGCCAAGAGGCCCATGGCAACCTGAAAGGAGCAGCAGGAATTTCTGGCATGTACTTGTTGCTCTCTATATGTGACAACAATCTCCTGTATTCTTCATATCTCAGCTCTGTGCGTGTTGAGATGGAAGCCTTTTTCTCTCTAAAAAAAAAAATCCAAGCCCACATGAATTTTGCAATAATTCTAAAAGGCACAAAAATGACACAGTACATTACCAAAAGAACATCATAACCATGATGAAGCATGGTGGTGGCAGCATCATATTTTGGGGTTACTTAATTTCAGCTATTCTAACCAATTTGGGTGCAAAACCTTCAGGGATCTGTTATAAAGCTGAAGATGAAGAGGGAATTCACCTTTCAGCCTGACAACAACCCAAAGCATGCATCAAAATCAACAAAAGAATGGCTTCACCAAAAGATCATTGTTTTGGAATCGCCCAGCCAGAGCCCAGATTTAAATCCAGTTGAATATCTGTGGGGTGACCTAAAGGGCAGTTCAGTGAGTGCATTCAGTTTCCTTCCTTATAAGGCAAAGTATATGTTGCTGGCAGGCTATTAGTAGGAAAGCACTTCACCCGCACACATCTACCACGTGGTCCATTTAAGGACATAAAATCATATGCAGTAATAATTAACTGTAAGTTAATAAGTTTAATAATACAAGTCAATCTTTTTTTTATTTTCTAATAAAAGATACAGTAAACTAAATATATAATAAACAGTATTAGCCTGAAGTGGCATATACAATTAAAATTGTGTTCAGTTGAATTATCAATAGTAATAGTTTAGTGAATAATAAACATCACTGACACATGTAAATTTATATTTTGATAGGGTTCAAATTTTAGTCGGCAGAAGTTCTTTCAAAAAATGTTTTAATGTGAAGAACACCTAGAGTATCTTGTACAGCAGTTTCCATGTAAGAATGTTAATTTAATTCATGTAACCATATAAAGTGTTCAAACTACTTTGTTTTAAAGATGTTTAAAGTTTTTCCTTAATAGAATCAAAATTTCAAATTGCTTATAGAATGACTGAACTGAGCTGAAATATTATCTAGGTATTAACCCTAAGAATATTTCTCTTCAAATCATTTGGTTTCATGTCAATTTGTTCCTGCATCAGACCTATAATTTTATTAATAAGAGGGTGTGTTTCTCAGAGTGTGAAATCTTTCATGTTTGATATTTGATAGGTTTTATGTATGTATTCCCACAGTTTAATTATACCTGTGAATTATTAATGTATGCAAGCAATATTTTAAGCTATATCAAGTTATTAAAAATGTTTATACTAACCTTTATAATGCTCCAGGAACACATATCCTTTTTGGAGGAAGTGGTGGAATATTCTTCTAGGGAGCTTTTTGAGACACACCCAATGCTTTTTGAATGGCCTAAGTCTCGAAAACATTAGTGACACTCAGAGACTGATCACAGTCTCATGAGGCACTTCGGACACTCTTCACCCCCTCACTCTGACGATAACAACAACAAAATACATTTATATTTCTGCACATTTTTGATGTTAGGGGGCTTTCAATTATTTAAAAATATGACCACAGTATGAGCTGAGGAGTCTTTATTTCATTTATTCAATGGCTATTTTTTTCACCTGTAGTGGACTGTCCCCAGTCTTTGAGTTGCCTTGGGCCATGTGGTCTGAGGCCCCCCGAGACCTCTACCACTGGTCCAACTGGTCACTGAACTCAATTTTGCATAGAGGCTGCTCACACAGTGTTGAGCATGCATTGAGGAGGTCACTTTGTGCCCAATTCTATGCATGTGAACCAACAGACATATTAATGACTCTTAGTGACTTGCATTGATTTCAAACTCAATAGTGAATTTAGTGATGATTCCCTTCTTAAATTCCTTTAAACTTGCATTACTAGAAGTCCTGAAATGTTTCAGATAACCAGAACGAAGATGACTGCTAGAGAAGAGAAAGGAAAAACATTTTATGCAAATATCTTAAACTGTAGTCCAATTTAGATTGTAAAGGGGAAGTTTTAAATGCAGAAGTCACTTCTCATTTTCAGTAAGCAACTGTTGATAAGATCACACAGCATTCAGTTTCCTAAAACTACTATTTGCTTGACTCTGCTAACAT